GGTTTTTAGAGCAACTAGTAGAATCATTTGAGTCCAAGGTACAAAATTTAGCGTTTATATCAGACATGAAAAAGGGTCTTGGAGATTCCATGATGGTCCTTTTTCTACCTGCAGAGGTCATTTATGGAAGAATTTGAAAAAATATTTTCATTGTAAGGACACAAAAAGTTCAGAGTTTGGTATGGGTTGGAGCTGAAACATATATTAAAATTGAGTTTGAAAATAAGATGAATGAGCTAAGCAATATATGTCTGCAGGTGTATTCATATTTGCTTGCTTTACCTTATAAGTGGGTCTAAATATGATTTCTTAAGTGAGATAAGAAATCAGTAAAATACAAATAATATATCTTGATTGTTCAATTCATGGGTTGGAGAAGCAAGAAGCAAGCCTTTGGTTGGTTTGATTGATTCGATCTGATCAATGCTTATGGAACAGAGATCAGAGAGAGATTAAATCATCTTTATGGAAAGGGAAGTTAGTCCCATTTGTCGAGGATTATCTTACAGAAATAATTGCTAAAAAGGAACAGTTCATCGTAAGATATTCAATGTTACAACGGGCTGAAGTTGAAGGTCGATACGAAAGACAAGAAGTAGATTTAGATAATAGAGAATGCACTTGTAGATTTTGATAAATTACTGAATTATCATGCATTCATGTTGCAACAAAAAACACCGTTTGTGACACATTTACATTCATGATTATTACTATGTTTCTAGGTTGGTATGCAATACAATGTTATTAATGAAACCTTACACATTTATGATATTAATATTTATATTTTACTTGCAGGTATAAAATGACTTACACTACTCTTTCAGGAAAAGAGTTGTGTAATGTTATTGACTCGAATGTAAAAGTTAGAGTTCCTACTAGTTTGAGGCCTAGAAGGAAAAAAAAAAGAGATTTAAAATTTTTTTAGAGAACAATATCAAAACGACAAGAAGTGTTCACAATGAGGGCTCTGCAGACTTTCGAGTCACCACAAAAAAAACATGCAAAAATCCGTTGAGACAAAATACTTCACAAGTGCACCAAGCTGAAAATACAACATATGTTGTTGAGCAAGCACATTATTCAACAAGGGCAACACATATTAACCACAATTTTACTTATTCCGAACCAATAATGGATCAACATTTTATTAGGCCAAAAGTACCAATTAGAAGAGAGGCAACTAAAGAATATGATGAAGGCGATGAAACATTCGAAGCAGTTTATTTACAGTGGAATTAGAAATTCAATTCCACTACTGTTACTTTAGGGTATTTTCTTGTTGCTTTATAGTGACTTTCATAATTTGTGGGTTTTTTATTTTTTGATATTCTCGCTAATTGTTTTTATTCTAATGTTTTCTCTATTTGTTATTGTGCAAGGTTTTGTTAACAATTTTTCTTTTTGCTAAAGAAGATGACATAAATGCTACATGTGACTAACTACTATACCAGATAGAACTTGTATGATGTTTAAAACATAATTGTTATGTTTTATCACAATTTTGTTTATTGTTTTCTTTCTTGATATTACAGTTGCTTTTGCTCATATAAAATTCGACGACGCTCTCATTTTTTCAGCAAACAACAGTAATGATTTCCTTTTTATGGCCAAAATGTTTTGGAACTTTTAATTTAGGAAATCAAACACTTTCATATTTGGCATAGCTTTACAAGCTATCCTGAAATTTTCACTCATCTAGAAATTGGAACATTTTAACATGTTATCGTTGCTTTTTGATACCTTTTTCCGGTTTGAAATGCCAATGTAGTTACTTCAATTCAAAATTCTTTTGGATTCTGAATATGTGCAAGTAAACATAATGAACTTCTTGTATATTGGGAATTTGTTTAATGTATGTTGGGGATTTGTTTAAAATTGGTTCAACGTATAGTTCAACTTTGTTCCTTGAGATTTCAAATGCTTTCTTCATTTTAACTTTTGGAAATCTGGATGATGAATCTGATACCAGTGAGATCAACATTTACAAATTTTAAATGATGACAGCGTTCTGCTAGCATTATTCTGATATGACCTGTTTTAAGTTCTCTTTATGTCTTATGTTTATGGCATTTAGATACAAACCACCCAATTCCTATGTAATTATGTGTCTAAGGAGCTGTAAGGATGTTTCATAGCTTACTTTCTTTGCCCTTCGTATGAATTCATTATGGGGAGCTGTAAGGAGTGGTGTGTATAGGAAAGGTGCTATATATCATATATGTAAAGAATCAAAGTTTAGATGTTAAATATGTAAATACAAATCAATTGAGTGGTATGTATTTATTTGTAAGAAATTAAAGTAAAGGTGTTAGATATGGAAATACATATGAATTGAGTGGTATGTATGTAAATGTTCATTTTTTTTAGAAACTTAAAATGGGAAACTACTTATGGCGAGGACACAAGATTCTTTTCTCATGTTGTTCAAGGATTCTTTTCTGTAAGATCATTATCCTCAAGCAAACATTGAGATAATGATGAACAGACAAATAACCCCAATATCGTTCCCTTCACTTTTCTCCGTACTCCCCACGAAGTTGTGTTGGAAAAGCCGTGTTTTGTAGCTCGATTTGATTAAGTACAGTGGCTACTAGAAAACAGTAGTCTGACTATTTGAAAAAAATATATATATATAAAAGATATGACAGCATTTTGAACAACAACTTCTTCTACAATAGCTTCACAACTACTTCTTCAAATAGCTGCAATCCTTTTTCTTCAAGTTTCATAATGCTCGAAATGTTGTGCAGACGTACAATTAGATGCATTTTGTGAAAGCTAATCTAATTCATTGGAAAAATTGGCATCTTGAAGAAACCATTTTTCTTCTGCAATTTTTATGTAATTGTTGCCATAAGAAAACTTTGCATAAAATACAAATGAAATTTCACTTAATGTACAACAGCCAATTAAAATGCACAACTGCAATTTGAAGAAAAAGCATGCACCAAAACAGTTAGGCTTTTGATTTCTATTCAAAGAAGCATCATCCGGTTTTAATTGCATAATGCCATTGAAAATTCAAGATAATACGGAAAAGAGAGAGAGCCTAAAATTAAATGAGAATTTATCATTTATTTCTACACACATTTCACCTTTAATTCTAATGTATTTACACATCTAACCCCCAAACTTTATCTTTTACAGTTATATCACCCAAACCCTTTATTCACAAAAAAATTCGACTATTTCTAGTTTTAACTTCTAAAAGAATGAAATACATCTTTTTAAAAAGTTTAGATGGTAGATATGTAAATACATAGAAATTAAGGCCCCGCTTGGGGCAGCTTATAAGTGTGGGCGACGTTTTCAAAACGCTGTCGTACCGTTTGGTTCGCGCGTTTCGCCAGCTTATCCGAAATTGCGTTTGGGTTTTTACATTAAACATAGGCCGCGGGCTAAGTGATATGTATGTAAATCTTTTTTCTTTAATAAATAGATTTCAAATTTATTTATTTAATTTGTATCATAATGATCAAAGATCCACATAACATCTAATAAACCTAATTATGTCCTCGTCATCATCTCTCTCCTCCATTCATTCTGATTTAGTGCTACATTTGTTGTAAAATTTATTTATTGCGATTAAATTTTTTTAAAGTTAGATATTTTCTGATTCCCTCTCTCCCAAAAATAAATTGAGCCTTCTTGAATGCCATTGAAAATTCAAGATAGTACGGAAAAGAGAGAGAGCCTAAATTAAATGAGAATTTATCATTTAATTCTACACACATTTCACCTTTAATTCTAATGTATTTACACATCTAACCCCCAAACTTTATCTTTTACAGTTATATCACCCAAACCCTTTATTCACAAAAAAAGTTCGAATAGTTTAAGTTTTAACTTCTAAAAGAATGAAATACATCTTTTTAAAAAGTTTAGATGTTAGATATGTAAATACATAGAAATTAAGGCCCCGTTTGGGGCAGCTTATAAGTGTGGGCGACGTTTTCAAAACGCTGCCGTACCGTTTGGTTCGCGCGTTTCGCCAGCTTATCCTAAATTGCGTTTGGGTTTTTACATTAAACAAAGGCTGCAGGCTAAGTGATATGTATGTAAATCTTTTTTCTTTAATAAATAGATTTCAAATTTATTTATTTAATTTGTATCATAATGATCAAAGATCCACATAACATCTAATAAACCTAATTATGTCCTCGTCATCATCTCTCTCCTCCATTCATTCTGATTTAGTGCTACATTTGTTGTAAAATTTATTTATTGCGATTAAATTTTTTTAAAGTTAGATATTTTCTGATTCCCTCTCTCCCAACATTTAGATTAAAAAGTTATAATTAAAATGTAGTTCTAACCTGGGTCCCATACTTACGAGAAAATATTACGTCCAGATAAACATTCATTCAGACGACAGCTTGAATCACACCACACTACTTATATAACGGCATAGTAAGTACCACGCTGACATCTAGACATCTGAACACCAGACTTAATATTTTTCTACTACTCAAGGCTCTCGTGACACTTTTCATATAATCAAATTTTTATGAATACTTGAAGAGAGAGAGAGGATGACCAAAAATCCTCCATATATGAAATGATCCATTATTTATAGGAGATGCAGTACAAAACAAAGATGTTATATTTCTAACACTGCTTTAATAAGAGTTGTACATATTTTTTTGTTATTTCATATATGTGGCATCGTGGCTATTAGTTATAATAGGTCGTCCAAACTGCGGGCCAATCAGACTGCGAGTCGTCCAAGCTGCTGGTAGCTGAGACTATGGGTCGCATTAGTGCAAGTCATCCTAGCTGAATCATCTAACTTAAGTTGGTCATCCTTCAAGGTCAGTCGTCTAGACTAGGTCAATTGTCTTGATTGTGTCTTCTTATGAGAAATTCAATCTAATATATTTTTTATCTTTATAACTTATAACTTTTTTATTATTTATTGTTTTCTTTTGCAAAATCTTCTCTTGACGAGAAGGTTCAAAATTGGAAGTCTACGCTCCATCGCATAAATATCTCCCCTCACTTTCCACAGCTCTCCTTCCTCATTCCATCGAGTTTCACCGCACATCGTCTTTGCATGCAACTGAAAAACTAGTCTTAAGGTTTCATATGTAGAGAGAGAAACATCAAGAGAGAGAAAGTTATAGAGAGAGAAAAAGAGGAGAGAGAGATATATAGAGAGAGATAGAGCTATGGAGATTTTGTCCCATGAAAATCTCTCTTCTCGTGCCAAAATATATTTTAACGCAATCTCAAATTCAGCAAAAACAGTCGTCTTCATCTTCATCCTCCTCTTCTTAGCTGCCTTCTCATCTTCTCGTTGGATCGGCAAACATGTATGTTCTTCATCTCTCTTCCTTTTTTTTAATTTCTCTTCCTTAATCATATATAAATAATATAGATATATATATATATATATATATATAGATATATATGTATGTATATATATAGATATAGATATAGGGATTGGGATAATTGAGAATTGATTATGTTGCTAGATATGGTTTGCTTGAGTTTGTTCTTATGGATGACTTGTTCTGTTTTCTATTGCCTATTTTTAATTTGCCTTCCTACCTAATTAATTAACGGTACGTACTTATTGTTTTTCCTTATTAAAATAATAATAAAATGGTGATTATTTTATTTTCTCTCATTGGGTTAAAATTAGTGCGTTGAATTTATGTGATTCCAAGTGGTATGCGCATAGATGTTTCCTATTTATAGTCTTTTGGAATATTAGATGATTTTATGGCGTCATGAATAGGTTTGATTCCCTTTAATTCGGTTTTTTTTTTTTTGTTTGACCGATTTTGTAAGATTTGATCGCGTACTCCGGTTTATTGGTTGTCATTCTTGGTATAAGACCCCTCAGCTTTGGGTTTTGAATCCGCAGTTGGCCTTAAGAAGATAGTACTCAAATTATTAGGCACATTAGGGATGATTGAATGCTCGTATAATAGTCTCTCACCATTCTTTTTGATATATATATATATAAACACATAATAATTAGAAAATTGATTTATTTTTATTTTTTAAAAAATTAATATTTTAACTTTTCCTGATTTGAACAGAATATTGTAATTATATACTTAATTTTGTTTTATTGTTGCACATTTAGATATTTTCTTACTTAAAAAAAACAAACATTGGAAGGCAATTTATGGTTTAATCAATTATTTATTTCATTAAATGGGGAAAAAAAAGTATTTTATTATACCACGTGGTTGTTTGACTATTTTAACCTTACAAGAATGAGCATTAATACTCTCAATAAATCATTAAATAAATGTTCCAATTATATTTAGCAATTTATTTATTAAATTAAACTTATTCTTTGACCCAATAAATAATTATTTTTCTAAATTAATATAGAAAGTGAAGGTATCACTTTCTAATAAAACCTTATCATATTTATAAAATTTAGCAAATTATAATAAAAAATATTATCAAAATAAACAGACTTTAATCTTGACACGCTACAAAGAGGCATGAGAAAAGTCAAATCACAATAATCAAAATAAACAGACTTTAATCTTGACACGCTACAGAGGAAAGTCAATCACAATAAGGTTTATAGGGGCATATATGTCATACCGCTCAATTCTAATGTATTTGCACATATAACCCCCAAATATTTATTTACATGCAGAGCACTCAAATCATTACCTTTCAAAATGTGTAGGTTTATGGCACCAAGGTGTTATAAATATGAACATCAAAATTTGGAAGTTAGATATAATAATTGTGGGGTATTTATTAAAATTTACCAACCATTTGAGGGGTAAATAGCTAAATATAAAGTTTTAGATGTTAAAAAATGTTAAGGGATGAAAATTTTGTGGTATGAATGTAAATTGATCTAAAATAAACTGACAGTGACATGGTGGATGGAATTCAAAAGCACTTGTTCTTTCTCCATTCCTTTCCATAGACTTCTGTTGAAAAGGAAAAAGGAGGTAAGCCAATATTGAGCAGCTGAAAGGTCTAATTAGGAATTTTAAGATTAACGAAAAAGTAATTTTTAATTATGTTGTAGACCTTTTCCAAGCATTTCTTTATCATGTCATAATCATCATCATTTTGAAACTAACTAGTGGCTAATTGGGATTATATTATTCATTAAAAAATATATTCCTGTACGAAAAATGCGAAAATAATCTCTGATTACTAATATGGGGTTGTTTTAGTCTCAGAGTTTATACAAATGTCAAAATAGTCTTCATTTTTTTAAATCTTGGTTGATATAGTCTCTATGAAAAACTATTAGAAATACAATTTCAAATAGTCGAATGTTATTTTGACACTTCTAAACATTCTATGCAAATAATCTGGGAGCACTTTGAAACTTTACTCTTTGATTTAATGCGATCATTAGAAAAATCATTGATTAGAAGCTATTTTTTATATATAAATTCGATGGTTGAATTCATCTTATCTTAAATATAATATATTAAACATATACAGACTCTTTCATATCACTAACTTCCAATCTCTCATGTAGTCTTTCCCAAGCATAAGCGCCAATACTGGCTTAAAGTTTCCATGGATCACAACCCAACCCAGCTCCCAACCCAGCCCCCTACCCAAAGCTCAGCCCAATAGAAAGCCCAGCTCACAAAGCCTCACTTGCTCCTCTAAAAGCCCATCAAACTCTTGCCCTACTCATCCTTCCCAATCCCACAATAACTCACTTTCCCCCACCCCTCCCCCGATTCCTCCACCCTTCCCCCAACCAAACTGCCCTGACTACTTCCGGTGGATCCATGAAGACCTCCGTCCTTGGTCCGCCACCGGAATCAGCCGAGAAATGCTGGATCTCGCCGCCCCACTGGCCGCCTTCCGCCTTATCATCGTTGACGGCCATCCTTACATCCACCATTACCACCCTGTCTTCCAGACCCGCGACCTCTTCACCATCTGGGGGATTCTTCAGCTCCTCCGTCGTTACCCCGGCCAGATCCCGGATCTCGATCTCATGTTCAATTGCGAAGACATGCCGGTCGTCCACGCCCCCAATGGCGGCCGCTCACCGCCGCCCCTCTTTCGATACTGCAAGGATGATACAACATTGGATATTGTTTTTCCCGATTGGTCCTTTTGGGGTTGGTATGTGTGTTGATTTGCCCTAATTTCTTTGAAGGTTTTGTGTGTGCATGATTGATTGGGTCTGTACGTGTTTGTGTAGGCCTGAGGTGAACATCAGGCCATGGAATACGCTGGCTGAGGAGCTGAACGAGGCGAATGAGAGGCTGCCGTGGAGAGAGAGGGAGCCTTATGCGTACTGGAAGGGGAACCCTGATGTCGCAGGGACTCGTGGGGACTTGATGAAGTGCAATGTGACTGATAAGAAGGATTGGGAGGCGAGACTGTTTAGGGTTAATTGGGTTAAAGAAGGGAGACGACGATTCAAACACTCCAATTTAGCCGACCAATGCTCTTACAGGTATGGACATGCAATTTTTTACTTGTCTATATTATAGCACCAATCATTCGATCAGAAAATCATAGCTTTTTTTTTCTTCTTTTTTAATTTTTGTTTGGATGATTTACATACTTACCAGTCACCTTGGGGTTGGTATGTGTGTTGATTTGCCCTAATTTCTTTGAAGGTTTTGTGTGTGCATGATTGATTGGGTCTGTACGTGTTTGTGTAGGCCTGAGGTGAACATCAGGCCATGGAATACGCTGGCTGAGGAGCTGAACGAGGCGAATGAGAGGCTGCCGTGGAGAGAGAGGGAGCCTTATGCGTACTGGAAGGGGAACCCTGATGTCGCAGGGACTCGTGGGGACTTGATGAAGTGCAATGTGACTGATAAGAAGGATTGGGAGGCGAGACTGTTTAGGGTTAATTGGGTTAAAGAAGGGAGACGACGATTCAAACACTCCAATTTAGCCGACCAATGCACTTACAGGTATGGACATGCAATTTGTTACTTGTCTATATTATAGCACCAATCATTTGATCAGAAAATCATAGCTTTTTTTTTCTTCTTTTTAATCTTTTGTTTGGATGATTTACATACTTACCAGTCCCCGCATAATTCTTATATCTATATAACTAACATTTAAACTTTCATATTTATTTATAGGGACATTTATATTCATACCAACCAAATCTTGTGTATTTGCATTGCATATCTAACAAGTAAGCTTTAGTTTTTATATTTATATCACCCAAAATTGCATAGCATATGGAAGATATCACTATTTTAACTTTTAAAAAGTGAAATATGAGTGTTGAACGCAATATACACACACGAAAGTGGAAAATAAAGATTCTCCTTTGAGAAAAAGGCAAAGGTAATCACAGAAACTTGATAGAGATTTCTTAATGGAGGAAAAAAGAATGAGAAAATCTTCTTTTTTTTTTCCTCCTATATAAGGCTTTCTATTTATAGAAGTTGACTTCCTTACAAGGCACATTGAATCATTAAAAATAAAGAAATCTCGCCAAGAGGTCTGAGTGAGACCATATAGAATTTCAACTCAAACACTGGCTTGTAATAATAATATTTGGGAACTAGTGACTTTGTGAAGCGCTTAGTCCCCTCTGCCTCCATCTTGAGCGTGATCTTGATCTCTTGAGTCATCTGTCGGCAGCTTCAAGTTGCCCTATCAGGAGCCTTAGTTCTGACCATGTGGTATCAGTTGAAATGATTCTACCATGCGACGTGACTTCCACTGTGAAAGTGACGGAATATGTTGGAGAAGTGATGGCGACCCAACTACTATTACGTAAGACCGATGATAGAGGTCGCGTCCCAGAAAATCTGATGCTGACATTATCAGTTGCAGCGGCCAGACGGATGCGGTCAGATGTCTACGATGGTGATGGCTGATCAGTGGAGTTCTGGCGAGGTCTGACAGTGATGATGGTGGTGGCCGGTCAGAGGTTATCTAGTAGAGGTGGCAGACAAATGTAGTTTGGTGGCGATGACTGTGGGATAACGATGGTCCGTTAGTGA